ACTTTTGTTTATTGAAGCTTTTAAGACAATAAAGAAATCTCGCGTATTATCGGCACCTATAATTGTTTGCTTGAACCTTCTTTAGTTTACGAAGTACCTACTTAATTAATTGATATAATATCTATTTCATTACCACGTTTAGAAAATCCTAAACATACAACGCCGCACGAAGATGGCGGACATTATTATTAACTAATTAATGTTTTTAAAGTAAATAAAGAAGCCTAATGGTTTATTGTAATTATGTAAATAAAACAATTATCTAATGATGCCATTTCTTATGATGAGAAAATATGTTAGGTAGACACAGACATAATTTATAGTTAGGTACATAAAGCTTTGTATATCTCAATGTAGTTTGAAGAAATAGATAGTAACTGAAGACGAAACCGTATGTAGGTTGCAAGGATGGTTGCACCTACCGCGTGGTTAAACCAAACTTCATGGATTTGAATAATTCGTGTAATTAACGGCTGTAGTAGAAGCGGCGGGTCTGAAGTCAAGGAATATTAAGTATAGAATAAAATTGCCGTGTTTTCCTCGACATAGAAATACTGTCTTCCAAATAATTAGTTTTTTACATCAGTGAATTCGAATAAAAAAGAGTTTTAATTTTCTATTATACTTTCTTAATTTATGTATGTAGTACACGACAACTTGAATTAATTATGTTTAAAAATAAATAGTTCAAGGTTTCACTTTCGAAAAATATTTAGTATTGTCTAGTTTTACTGAATAATGGTATATAAATTCTTTAATTCTTCACCATATCAATTAAGATTGGTGATGCACGTTGTCTAACCCGCTACTGGCGAGGTTACACGTTACTTATATAGCGATTAATTAAGTTAAGTATTACTAAGAAATTTCGATGTAATTTCCAATATGTGGAATAAAATTGGAGTGACGTGGTAGCTTGCTGTACTTCATTTGGTTTTGAATGAATTGACTTATATACACTTCAAAAACAAACAATTCTTACCAAATAGGTCTTCTATCCTTTTAATTACAAAACTGATTAACATAATTAAGATCTGTTTCAGAAGGTGAACGGTGCTGTACTGAGCTGCTTGCCGTCTGCGGTTCAGCAATGTAGGTCTTGTGAACACAGCCTTCGAGTACAGGGATGTACTAATAATTATTATTACAAAGCAAATTCAAAGCTCTTTTTTGTCTGTGATTACTTTAAGGCATTTAACAAGGTTCTGAGTTCGATTTTCAGCTAACAGAATCTTTGTACATTTTAAGAACATAGAGAGGTTAGTCTTCCTTAGTCTTAGTCATTGAAGATGGGTCTGTCTTCGCAGAAGCAGAAGCAAGATTCAGAAACGAGATTTAGTAAGTCTGACTTCCTACATCTAAAATATTAAACATTTAATGACTTTGCTAATTCTTAGTGCCATTTCAAAAATGTTATTACTGAATTATTTTGTGTTTTAGTACTTATACATAGTATAGTTCCTTTCTTATCCTTCTAAAAGATATTGCAATCCAAACAGGGCGTAGAATGGTCGAGAAGAACTGGTAATAAACTCTCCGTCACTCTTTTAAATCGCCAAGGTTTTGTATTACAAAATGTTTGTCCACCTGCAACCAATACATCATGCTTTTCAATGCTTTATTATAATAAGATACTGGAAGAATTTTGCTTTTGCCATAAGCTTTAAAACAACCCGATTAATATGTTTGTTTTGATATTGTGTTAGTACATCCCTGTGTGTATGTGGTTTTCTGTGTATTCAAGTGTCTTCTATATTTGTTCTAATTCCTGCGTAAGTGTAACTCATAGCTGCCCGCTCATTTTTCTTATATCCTCATTGGGTTTGCTTTAATAACAATATTTAAAAAACCACACCCACACATACATGTGTAAAATATAACAAACATTAATGACGCCTCTACCGGCTGAATATAAAAAAAACAGTAACGCAAAAACCTTTTAGACCTGATCCTCAGGTTTCCTGTATCTATTTCGTAATCATTTATTCTTCTTAATACGCTAGTAGGTGACCACCCTTCTGTGCTTGAAACATGTTTTGGTGATATTTAGGTCTGAGGCATGCCGATTTAATTACGACGTTTTTCTTCACCGTACTACAGTGTTAAATGAGAACTTAGATAGAAAAATCCACTGGTCCAATACGTCATTTCCAACGACCTCAGGGTAGAGTGCTTCTTCTATCAAGTTAAGCCGCTAAGACTATTAGGGGATAACAGATCTTTAAATGTCAGTGCAATAATTTTATGATCTTCATTTAAAGTTGGGATTTGTAAAACAAAATAACCCAATATAAAAATAATTAGATGTTTGGCTTAGACATAAATAATGAATTGGTTGAAAAGTCTTATAAATTAAGTAACACCATTGCTTAATTGATTTATTAAATTGCGTTTTAGTCTAAATGCGCAAAACACGGATAGATAGAAAATTAGTTGTTAAGTCAGACGGAATGCGGATAATATATTAATATAATTTTAACGATGCATGAAATCATATTAAAATTTATTGTTTTAGATATCAATTGTTATCCCAATGAAAAGTATTACTTTACACCTTGTATGAAGTCCCGTAAGCCTCCAATAAAGCTACTTGGACTTTTCAGCGTCTGTTCCTTCATCTGTTTAATCAAGCAGTCTTGTCATCTTTTTCTACTTAAAGTTTATTAAACTGAGCACGACTAACTGATTTCGTTCACATTTTTTAGTTACCTCAGATTTAATGTAAAGTCCTAATTGTTAATGGTTTTTCCAAAAAAGATAATTTCACCTCAAATAACGACAAGTTATAATTCGCGCGTTTACAGTATGACCATTACGCTAAATACAATGTTCAGCAAAAGCAAAGGTAACAATTTTGTTTATGAAAAAACCATTTGAATATTTATAGCTTTTTTTTAATGATTTGAGTGTCAAATTCTTTCGATATAGTATATGAAATAACATCTAATGAACGCCCTAAAAACAAAAGCACCTCACCAAATAAATAAAATTTCCGAGTTAAAACAATCGATTAAAATCCAAATGCAAGCGACAGTTAGCAATTGTTCAAACATTCATTATTAAATGTCCTCCTTTTAACCAAGGTCTAATTTGTTAAGCGTCTCAAATATTAAATTTTTTATAACACGAAGTATTTGTATTTCATTTTACATTAGGATTTTAAGGAGTTTTAGCCAAAAATTCTCGGGTTGCATAAAAGTTAATTATAACTATTTTTTTTCAGGTTAGTAAGCTGAAATTATAAAGCTTACTTTAAAAAACAATAATAACTATTCAGAAATTATGGAGATGGAAATTACAGAGATTGTGGGAATAACAATATAACTAATTTTAATAGAGATACTTACCTAATCAAATAAGACAGAAGTATGTTAAAGTTACTTTTTATAATCATTTTACTTAGGTTGTAGGACATTCTTTTTTTTACATATTTTAAGATACTGGGACCTAAACAACATAGAGGCATATTTTTTATACAAATAATAATAAAATTCTTATAAATTCATCCCTTCCTAGAAGGCTAGAAGGTGCATTTTTAATTTCTCCACTTGAAATTTCCGGAGTTACAGTGAAAGTCTGTATATAAATTGGTATTATCGATTCCTATTAATAATTAATTATTATAAGGACAGATGTCACAACTTCTAAAATTTCGCGGTTTTACACCACAATTACAATATACAACGATAGATGAAAATCCTGTTTGACACATTCAATATTCTTAAGAGTTTTAACAAAATGAGTTGATAGTATATCTAATTTATTATACAATAAGTATGATTACGAAAAGGAAACAAGGAAAGGCAAGTTGAGGCGTTGGGAGAACGACGTAAAAAGAGAAGCAGGGGTAGAAAAGTACCTAATAAATAGCAAGAACAGATCCATTTGGAGGAGGTCGAGAGAAAAGGTAGTGGTAATAGTAGTAAAAAAGTTTAGAAATATCTTAGACTAAGTACAGCAACAAAGGCTTATTTTATTTTTAAGTAAAATACTAAATTATATGTACAATGTACATACAATATAAACTAATTCATAATTAATTTTGCTGCCAGCGTTAAATGTATACTGCCAGGGACTCTTCAGGACTGTACAAGTGTACAGGGACCAAACTTTTTAAATTTGTTTTAATTTTCTTTTATTATTTTAAAATATTATTATGATAGTATGTAGGTTAAGAAAATTGTCATTTTTTTTGGTTTTAGTAAAAAAAAATACTAATTCATTTATATTCGTTTTAAATATTCATATTACAATAATAAAAGCTGATGACACTTTTAATGGGCTCTCAAACTTCTAGAACAAAATTACGCACGACCCACTAATGTGATTATCGTAAAACCAAAGACTAAATTTAAATACTAGAATATACCTATTACTATCTAAGAGATTTGATGCTACTGATATACGTATAAGAGTAAAACAGATCCATATTCTATAATAAAAGACCTGCAATGTGTCAAAGTAAATAATCTCATGTGCAGAAAATATAAAAAATTGCTATAAAATTTAATTTTCTCCGAACAACATAAAGATTACTTAACAGAAAATAATAAAAGTAATAATGATTAAAATGTAGCCATTTTGTCGTACTACATACAAGGGATAGAAAATACTTTTATAGCCTGTTAGTCAAATAAATATATTACTAGTTGTTTAAAGTGTTTATCTTTTGAAAAACATCTTTTGTTGCCTTTTGGAATCTAACTGTCGAAAATTTGCCCCAAATAACGAAAACTGGTTCTTACTTAAATATATCAATTACGATAACTTTTTATTTTATATTAAAATTTGCATATAGATAAAACAAGTCGTAAACTCATAACGATCGTGACTATATATATATATGTACATACATATATTCATTAGTTATTGTTATTCACGTAGTTCGCGTAGCAGTGTAATATTGTAGCAAAAATCTACATAAATTAAAATAAATAATAATTACAATAATTCCGAGTTTCAGAGAAAAGCTTTTAAAGATATTCCGTTGTTTTTTTATAATGGCTCTCAGAAAACTACCAGAATATTTGAAAATTGGTGTCGCAACTGCGGCGTACCAAATAGAAGGTGCATGGAATGTCGCAGGTATTCTACGACACGTTTTTAAGTTATTATTTTATTCCTATAATATTTCAGCGTTTCTGGTATTTTCTCTATAAAAGAGAATGTGATCAATTTAATTCGATTGTATGAATGTTTAGATTTGGTATAGTAATAAAATAATGATGTGACAATTACAGGCATTTTTAAGAACGCCAATAATCTCAAAGGATAATTTTTTTTGGGTAATGTTTTAAATCTAACCTAACCTAGTCATTATATATGTTACAGATAAATCTAAAAGTATTTGGGATGTTACCAGTCACCAGCCCGGTGCCATAGAAGATGGTACCACTGGCGATGACGCCTGCAAATCATATTACTTCTACAAACGAGATATTCAAATGTTGAAATTCCTTGGAGTGGATTTCTACAGATTTTCCGTCAGTTGGCCGCGACTATTTCCAAATGGCTTTGTCAATACCTTAAGCCAGGTTGGTCTCGAATACTATAATAATCTTATAAATGAACTTATAGAGAACAAAATTGAACCTGTTGTAACACTTTACCACTGGGATTTGCCGCAAAGCCTCCAAGATTTGGGAGGCTGGGCAAATCCATTAATTGTCGAATGGTTTGAGGACTATTCCAGAGCTGTTTATAAACTTTTTGGGGATAGAGTGAAGTTATGGATAACGATAAATGAACCGAGGCAAATCGGACTGTCCGGTTATGGTGATAATAGGTTTGCACCAAGGATCAATGCTCATGGGATCGGTGAATATATAGTTGCGAAGAACATTGTTCTAGCCCACGCAAGAGCTTGGCATGTGTATGATGAGGAGTTTCGAAAAAATCAACGGGGTGAGTTATTAATTTATTGTATAAATTTGAAATCTTCTGCTATTTCATAAAAAAACATGATAATAGAATAGAATAGCCATGCTGTGTCTAAAACGTCTCATAAAATAGTTTCCATTAAGGAGTTTGGATTGCCTTGTAAATGAGTTTGTTTTATAATTTGGTATTGTATTGAAGGTATATGCGGTATAACGATCGCAACGGAATACTGCCAAGGAGCTACTGATTCCCCCCAAGACATAGAAACAAGTCTTGATTGTTTGGAATTCGAGGTCGGGTTGTACGCTCATCCAATATTCTCCAAAGATGGTGGATTTCCCGAAGTGGTAAAACGAAGAGTCGCACTCAAAAGCACAGAGCAGGGTTATCCAAGAAGCAGACTGCCAGAATTTACGCAAGAAGAGATACAATACGTTCGAGGTTTGAGGTTTCCGTATATAATTTTATGCGCGACTTAAAAAAAATATTCATCATCACATGTATGGTAAAATATAACAAGTTACATAACAACTTTTTATATTATTTTAAATTCAATAATCTAATAAAATAATTCAATCTCATCAAATGAAACATAATATATGACAACTATATATAATTTAATACCAAATTTTGATTTATTTTAGGAACCAGTGACTTTTATGGTTTCAATCATTATTCAACATACTTTTTAACCAGAAAATGGTATACTCCTGAAGTTGTGCCATCTCAAGCTGATGATATTGGTGCTAGACAGGTAGATTTGGAATATGAAATGGGAGCTACAACTCAGAGCAAGGTAATGTGAATAATTGTGAACATTAATTTATAAATTATCCTGACAGTATGTAAAAAAATTCCTTAGCGTTTCCCAAGTTATTAAGACTACTAAAAAACTACTGAGTCTATAAATATTATTATAAAGTTACTGACTAGTTATCAAGTACAAATACTGTTTTAATTATACTACGATTAATGAATATTGATGGCAAGCAATAAGCAATGAATAATGAATAGTGTCAAAATTATGTATAACAAAAAGAGACGACTTTTAGGCGGGAAATCCATAGACAAAGTCCCATTTTTACTGGTACCTATTTCATATAAACAAATAACATAACTATTTCAAAAGTATTCTTTTTATCGCGTATTACTTAAATAATTACAGATTATACCTGAAGGAATCAGAAAAGCATTAAATTGGGTAAAAAATAAATACGATAACCCCGAAGTAATGATATTTGAAAATGGTTTCAACACGTACGGGGGTCTTATGGATTTAAACAGAATTACATATTACCGGAAATATTTAAATGCCATATTAGATGCAATTGATATTGATGGGTGTAATATAACTAGATACACAGCTTGGAGTTTAATGGACAATTTTGAATGGAATTGCGGACTCCAGTATGTATATTTTAGTTGGTTCAACGCTTATATGAATTTTATCTATATCTCTAATAATTATTTATTAAAATTAACCTTATATTGATTTTGATTTTTGTCGCATGCTATCTTTCAGACTTAAATTTGGATTGTTTGAAGTTGATTATGAAGACGAAAATAAACAAAGAATAGCAAAATTGTCGGCTTTATGGTTCAAGCACTTGATTACAACGAGATCGCTTCATTATGATCATATTCCAGAATACAAAGAAATCATATTTTAGTTTTGTTGCTATAATACGTGATTTTTCATGTTTATTAAATTAATTACCCTTAAATAAACAAAACGACATAAGTTACCTATTTAATTCGTTATTATTGTACAGTTTACTAAAACATCAATCAATATATCAACAATAATTAACATTTACACATATTTATTATGTATTTACTATAAATATTGTCGTGGACCGATCATATAGAACTGAATACGAAAATGGACATCTAAAATTAACTGTATTTTAATTGTTGGCAACAGCATGAAGTTATTAATTCTACCTATATAATAATACCTAAATAATAACCACTACCAAAAATACTAATGTAATAGTATTTTTTTCGGTTTGACAGTTTGTCGTCTGTGAATGTGAAATGTACCTAAAAGCTTGACTTTTCTACTGTAAATAAATAAAATTTGAAAAAAAAAACGGCACAAAAAATTTAAGTCACTGTGTCTAATGAGGTTATGTCATAACAGCATGTTTACAATTATAAAAATTAATACATAGAAAAATAATGTGCATATTATTATATTATAGACTTTCAAATATTGTAAGTAGGGCTCATTTAAATTCTAAATGCAACGCCATCTGTGGTTTGGTGTTCATACTACGTGTTCTAACTTTGAACAACGTCTTATGTCCGCATTTGACTTTACCGCAACGGAATATACAGATGGTAGACAAATCAAGAAAATATTTGTAATAACTTTAAATACAGCTTTTCCATACTCTGATTTAGCACTAAGTATGACTAAGTACGGGAGTCATATGTTGCGCACTGCGTTAGCTTCGCTCTCATATTAACACTAATACGTAAAAAGTTATCAATATGTTACGAAACTGAAATTATTTAGATTAAATACACTATTTAATCTTAATATTTTACTACTTTAAATAACTCAGTACAAAAAGTTTATATTCTTAAATATGGATCTAATTGACTGATACGAAAAAACAATGTCAATTTAACGTGGAACCATAGTCACTTCTCTGAGCAAATAATCTGTGGCAAATACAGAAAAGATGACTTAAATATGGCCCATAGAATTTCATTCTCTATAATTCGTTGACATTGACAGTATATCAACAAAACAGCAAAATGAAAAAGCAAAACGTCACTTAGTTCAGTTGCAAGATGGCGAACGTTCGGGATAGTGATACATCCTTGTGGCTTCACAATAAACTCGGAATTTCGAATGATTCGTGGACAACTGGTTCAATTTGTACACAATTAAATGCTGAAGTATTAAAAAATATCAAAGATTGCTTCCCGGATTTACAAACACAAGTCAAATTGAAATTGTTGCTTAGTTTCTTTCATATCCCGCGCAGAAATGTTGAAGAGGTAACTTTTCTTTTTATTCTATGGTTTTGCGTAACTGCATGACGTATTGCGTCTCTTTCGTATTTATTTAAAATTAAATTAGAGTAAGCGAGATCGTCAGGTGTAAATAAAATTAACTTTGTTGTCAAATAAATGCAATTTAATTACAGCACTTGTTATACGCATGGTAGTATTTTACAAGAAAGTATAGGAAATATTCCACAGATATCTTGTTAAATGTAATATAAATATTGAGTTGATATTGGCACAGTATAAGATTCTTATTAATTATATGAAAGGCAATTTGTGTAGATTGATATATTAATTCTAAAGATATATTAATTTAATAATCAACCTAAGAAGGGTTAGCAACCCTTCTTGGCTTGATTATTGAATTTTTATTGAATTTTTGAATTAATATTTCCAGTATTTCTTGTCAACACCCAAAAACTCTGGTAGTGGTAAATGATAAGAGATAATGGGAAATATATACTGATTTAGGTTATACATGTGTATACAACCAATCTTGTTATAACAGACTAAATTTATACTTCTAAACCACTACCAATTTATTTTTTTATTGTAGTACAAAGTTATACTCTGTAAATGTTTTAGCCAAAATATCAATCCTAAGTCCACAGTTTAACCATATTTGTAGCTCTCTGGATAGCTCCCTCATATCTTGTCAGAAGTAGAGTAGGGTCTGGTTTAAGAGATACTTCCTCCAATCTGTAGCTATTTTGTCCTCAAAGGTGTGTGTAATTTTCTGGACAATTGAATCATACCTTTAATCATTCCATCATGTTGACCAATTTCCATGAGATTATTTGAGTTCAGTTAAACCCTTATACACAATAATATATCGTTATTATTTTATTTCCCTTAAACTCTTCTACATTTCAATCAGAAAGTATAATAGTAGTTGTAGTAGTAGTTACATTAAAATCAAAAAGTATCTAGGTGTAACTACTATGCTGATACCAACAAAGTTTACCTGTATTGTAGTTCATCTTAATTATTTATTTAAGTTTACCACATCATACATAGTACTAAATCTACAGTATATGTTACAAACTCTTTTATCTAAAATGTATGACAATGTTACAAAAAAATATATTAAAAAATACAATTAAATACACAAAACAAAATAAAGGTTCAATATAGTCAATCAAGCATACCAGAAATTTTTTGTAAGCAGCGAAATTACCAGCGAAACAGCGGAGTATGATTGAGATAGGAACTTAACAATGCTTTCTTTAAAACTGATCAGCCCGCTACCCAATATATCTACTACGGATAAGTACTGTTTAATCCTTTAAAATTGCATTGTTAAAATATTTGAGCATACAAGGATTTTTTTAATTTTTATTTCCCATAGATATATTTATCCGTTACCATAACATATATACCTGCTATTATACTTTGTATGCATAATTTCAGTGGAAAAATGAACTGGAAGAGATTATTGAAGTGGCAGGCGTGGACTCCGACCTCTGGGTTGCTATGCTTGCTGAAGTGCTCAAGACATTCCCCTCTGCAGGAACCCTTAATACAGAGATAGCAGAGTTTGATGAGACAAGACCAATATTCAGTGATATGATTAATGAGCTCAGGAAGCTATTGGCCAAGCATTCAGACCTTGGACTGTTACCACTTGAGTGCCTATATCTAAATAAAAATGCCTTAGTTTCAGTGGTGAGTGTGCCTTCAAGAAGGCTTCTGCTTGTAGTACATTCCTCACGTTTTATACATATTTTACATATAAAACATTTACTCTAAATATAAAAACCAAAACATATTGACCATGTTTCAAAATAACTTTTATGTAGACATTGAAGACTGACTTTAAAAAGAATTTTTTTTCAGATACAAAAATATAAATGTGTAAAGAATGATTATTGTAAACTAACAGAACAGATGTCACTTAGCAGTATATTACATTAATAAAATTTCTACATACTATACAGGCAGAATATATAATTAAACTAGCTGATCCGGCAAACGTCATTTTGCCATGTATATCATTTATAATAAAAAAAAGGGTTTGATCGTAGAGGGGTGAAAGTTAGGGGTTGTATGTATTTTTTTATGCTGTATCATAAAAAAATAAGTAAATTAACTAAAAATTAAAAAAAATAATTTAGGGGTGGACTACCCTTAACATTTAGGGGGATGAAAAATAGATGTTGTCCGATTCTCAGACATACACAATAAGCACACAAAATTTCATGAGAATTGGTCAAGCCGTTTCGTAGGAGTATGGCAACGAAAACTGTGACACGTGAATTTTATATATTAGATGATTTCAAAAATTGTAAAATTCATGTATTGCCTATCAGTAATTCATGTAATATCACTTGCAGGTGGGACAACAACCCAATCCAGTGAAACATTTTACACTAAAACGGAAACCCAAATCTGTAGCTTTAAGAAGTGAGCTGCTGGCAAAAGCAGCTGAAGTTCAAGCCAACCAAAAGAAAGCCCAAGCTCCCACTGTACCCGTTAGAAGCAGGGGAATGCCACGTAAAATGACAGACACAAGTATGTAAACTATACAATTTCATACTAATTATTATTATTATTTTTTATGTAATAGGAGGCAATCACTCTTTGGTCCTCAACCATAATCACTCCTTAGAACAGTCAATGACTTCACCATGTATTTTATGAAATCAATTCCTGATGTATTTTACAAACCTGTGAAAAAAAAGAGATTATAGATATTTTATATGTAATTAAGCATTAAGTAAAATATCTTTTTATGTATTAAATACTAACATAATGATCCTAAAATATGGTGCAAAAATTAATTGATTTTCCTCGAAGTGCTATTTTGATTATGAAACCCATAGTGCACGAACTCACGGAATTTATTTGCAGCTCCACTAAAAGGCTTACCATCTCGGTGGACTGCGCGACCCGTTCCACAGCCCGTACCGAGACCTACTCCGCCACCCAGGGCTGGAATTAAGCTTCTAGATATCACGGAACAGCCTGCCACACATGCCCAGATTAAAAAGAGGAGAAAGTTAGGTGAGAGAAGTAGTATTGCTGTTTTGTGTGAATCAAAACTATACTGTCTTATGTGCAGAAATTTGTATATCAAAGATGAACAGGAAATATTGTTGTGTGTTTATTTATATATTATATGTTATATTAATAATAAACTATGGGTTAATTTTACACTTTATTTATTAAATAATATCCTACTTTTCTTTGTGTCTAAAACCCACAGAATTTGTTTTATTAAGCTATGCATAGCTTTTATCGCAGGCTTTGAGCGCGGCGACCGAATCAAGAAATTCCGTACCGAAAAATTCTAACACACGATGACGTAATATAGGTGCGGCCATACGCGATAGAGCGGGACAGAACGCATACTGTATTCACATCTGTCTCACTTTAACGCGTAGCGGTGCAGCCGGTACGCCTTAGAGTGAGACAGACTATATAGGCGTGTTAGTCTGAGTCTGGTAGAGAGATTGAATTAATATCAAAGAAAAAAAATACTGCATGAATAAAAAATAAGTTAATAAAAATGTTACGCAATAGCTTTACCGCGGCATTCCCCGAGTGCCACACGTATTATTTATTACTATTGTAATTAACTAACTAACCGTTACTTTAATTCCAATTATTGCATATACATAATGAACTGAAAATAATAACTACATTTATGTTTTACATTTGCAAACTACAAATTTCTGTTATAAATTTTTTGTCTATAAAATACAGAAAATGCTAATTCTAATAACTGTTATGAATAGAAATGGAAGAAGGTGTGAAGAAACCGCCACCATCAACTTCGCCGCCACCGCCTGACTTCAAGAACATCAAGACAGAGGAGCCTCCCGCACGTAAATACTTTTTTATTGTTAAAGTAACGAGGGTTTCATATTTTTCTATAGTATTAAAGAATAACATTTCAAATTTTAAACATATATCATCATAGTCGTAGAATATTGACGGATCTAACAAATAGTAAACGTTACAGGGCAGCCATTTCACAGTAATATAATCATGTTAGTTTTTTGTCATAACTAAATTAGTTCATATTCTGTTCTTATGAAAATTGGCATACAAGTAAACAAAAGGGTTTGTTTTGAAACAAAGTAAAAATAATAACATTAAATTACACAGTTTTCTAGAAAAATCACATGTTTCTATCAAATCCGCCACTTTACCGACTGATTAATTTGAAATTTAAAACACATTGATTTTTTTTAATGTAGCCGTAATATTTAGTCAATGTAAAATACAAATACGATAAAAAGTCGATTTTGTTTTGTTTTTCAAATCCGACATTGTTCTTCGATCATGACGATATGTTCCCTTTATATTCCAATACATTCACATGATTTATTTTTAATAATGTCTTTATTTGTCTTGAAAGTGTTACATAAGATGGATGATAGAATTACACATAAGTGCACAATCAGCCTATGTCAATTCAGCAAAATATGTATGTGTTTATTTATTTTCAAAAGTAATCAGAAAATATATTTTTGCTATATTTTCTACATGCCACAGAGTATTCAATGAGTAGACTACACGTGACATCCTTTGTGATTCTAAGTAGTTGTTTCTGGAATTAAAAGGATGTTTATTGTTTAACTTTCCTTTGACATTATAAAATAGATTAAATATATGTTTGCAATTTTTATTGTATTATGATGGAATATCATCGAGCTGTATTCAAGTGATTGAACACATTGCGTTAAGGCAAATTATTTATTTGGATTTATTACATAATGATTTCATATTAGGGCTTTTAAGAGTTTTCCAAAGTAAATTTTATTTCAGTGTCGACTCAACCTTCCTTTGCTATATTTTGTAATTTTTATCTATGTTAACTAATTAATTACATATATTTCAAGCATTATGTTTGTGTACGCCGTCGGCTAATATCGAGGCCACATATTGATTCTACATATATTATATATAGAAAACATAATATATTTTCCTATACAAACTCTTGTCTATATTGTATTTTATATAAAATACAATATAGACAAGAGAATATATATTGTTTTATATATTTTTTTTATATTTTTTTTTTACAGCAAGCACCACCGAACCAACCACTGAGCCAGAACCAAGTGAACAGGCATCAGAAACCACACCTCCACCAGCCCAAACGCCAGTCCAAACCAAACCGCTGGTGGTCGGCGGTGGTAAGCTGGTGCTGGCTCCAGGCAAACCGGTATTACTCTCCACCCAGAACATTCTCAACACATCTGCACTATTGCTGCAGCAGGGTGGCAAAACAGTGCTGCTACAAAACGTGAAACCCATCGCCCATCCAGTGCTGCCGCAACAGCAAGTGCAGCAGCATGCTATTGGCCATCCGGTATGTATTAAAAAGTATTATAATTTTAAATTGTACTAGTCGTAATTTTTAGGAAACTCAAGGTTATATTTTGATTATGTATTTTAATTTGTAAAAGCATAATTTGAAGTTAGTTAAAACAAGTTTTGTCTTATTAACTAAGTAACAAGAGTGACAAGGACAAAACAGGCAAAGAGATAATTTATTTCCACTAATATTCATGATATATTATAGGTACAAGTTCAACAACCGGTACAACCTATACAAACGGCGGTGGTACAACCTCAAGTGCAGCAGCAGCAACCACAACAACAGCAGCAGCAACCGCAATTATTGCCCCGTAGAGGACTCTCGTTAACAGTAAGTTTTCGAATTATATTGCATTACAATAACAACTATCCTTTTATCTAAAAAAAATGATGATTAATCTGTGAAACAATTCAAGGGAAATATAATTATAACTTGTATATATATTTTTTTTAACATATTGTTTTTATGATGTGGCTCTCTTGTTTCCTTATTAATAAATAAATAATACATATGATAACGTAAAAATATCTTTATATACTAGATATTATATTATATCTTATTGTATTATGTTACATAAACAGTAATATAATATGTAATTACTAAATTATCTTGGCTTGAGACTTGCTCAAGATTTCTGCTGACACTGTGCTACTAAAGTGAAAAGTTTACATTTTTACTATATTAATTTAAATCTAAAGTAAAATAAAATCTTTCAAGAATTATTAAAAGATTTCTAGAAATGTAAAAGTGAAAGTTGCGCTTGTAGAATGATTTCGTTACTCGCGTATGTAATACGTCTCATCTTAAATAATTAATTAACTAAATTTTTGAAGTGAAACTTCTTTATCGAGGTTGGAAAAAAATTTAGTGTAACATTTTTTCGTTACTCGTCACATTTCTCTTTTTGAAGTCAAACTTCTTTATCGGCGTTGGAATGAAACTTCTTTATCGACGTATGGGAGAAATTTTGTAGCAAATCGTCACGTTTTTCAATGATAGTAATAATTCTATTACAATTAATGAAATTCTATAATAATCTTCGTAGTAATAAGGGTAAACTTGAAATATTGGTATTCATGGCTATGATAATAAAAGCCTTTTGGTAAAACTTTATCTAATTATTTCTGGTTGCATATAATATCCATTCTCGAAAATAAGTTCTATTTATTCTTGTTTCACTTCTTCCTTTGTACACCTAGTACACGCACAATTTTTTTTAGAGATATATATAGTTATAGTTTGACCTATAATTTAATATTCATGGAATATTGTCAACAGTATGAAGCTTCATTTTTTTTTTTTTTTTTTTTTTTTAGACTACCACTAAACGTTTGATTTATATAGCTAATAAAGTATTGATAAATTCTTATCTTTATTTATTCATCCTTGTTACAGCGCGAACAAATGCTAGAAGCCCAAGACATGTTCAGAAACGCAAATCGCGTGACGCGACCAGAAAAAGCTCTCATACTTGGCTTCATGGCCGGCTCAAGAGACAACCCTTGCCCAAATTTGGGCAATATCGTCACTATCAAATTATCAGAGAATATCGAAAATGTACTGCAGTCGGATGACACCTACCTCACAATGCTGTCAGAGATGCACTTCCAGATGAATTATAATAATGGCCAATGGACGCGGCTTAAAAAGTACCGGCATATTGATGGAATGATGCCACAAAAGGTAAAAAACTATTAAATATCTTTAAAAATAAAATATTGATCATTTGAAATGTAGAAAATTTCATATGTAGTTAAAAATAACAAAATTTACAGGCAGATTTATGTATTACTCATAATAGACATTGCAAGTGAATTGTACTAACTAATTCAAATCAGATTACTTAGGATATTAATAATAAAGAATAAAAACTTTATTTATGACAAAAGGGTTTGTGACAGAATTCAATCGCTAGTGGCCCTATGTTGTGGGTAACTAGAAAACAATTATTACATGGTACATGTTTGAAACAGTAAAAAAATAGATAATAATAAATGTGAAGAAACTGGTAAACTTTTAAATCACATGTTACACAGTTGTATTAAAATTTAATTCCAAAAAGATAATATTCCTTAAATTTTAGTAGAAAAAAACTTGGGACATTAGGCAATACTAATTCGAAAGCGTGTCTCACTAACGCCAATAGACTTTGTATGAAAATGTCAGTCTCATACAATTTTTTTATTACGACAGTCACGTTTGGCGCAAATTTTTTTGGCTAAGGCTGATTAGATTATATCTTGCATACGTCTATAAGCATAACTTAAGGCACTGTTGCATTATTGTGCTTTGTATGATAATAGAAAAATATACCCTAAAATCTGTATGCATAAAAATATTTTTTCTTTTTAATTTAAAAAAGAAAAAAAATTAATGAATAAGTATATTATTATTTATGATTTTTTTTGCTTTTTCTACCATTTGTTCCCTATTTTTCATGATAAAAAAATCCCATTTCAGATTCCCCCGGGCTCCACTGTGATATCAGCCAACAACCAACAACCGGTTGTCTCCATAGCCAACCAAAGTGTCGGCTAGTGTTAAGTGAAGTGACTTAGTGAATGACGCTACCATAGTGAAATCGGCAGAATGTGTATTTTATCTATTCAGGTTTTTACATAAATTATGAAAGTTTTATGCTCTCCGTGGCTCTGTTGGTTAATACCACATATTCATATCGTGTGTTCATCAGTGGAAGTGAAAACGTTTTGAATGGGCTTACATGATCGTCTACTTTATGGTGTGAAAAGTGGTCACAGAACTAAATATGAACAGTGGTAAAGGGGATTTAGACACTTGTGAGGGATTATGTTCTCTATCCTTGTGCTTTTAAATTTATTCAGTAGCTCATAGGGGCCGTTCAAGTACGTTACGTTACGTAAGCAGATTTACTGCAATTTAGCCCTCCCCCCTTCCTCTTGTCAGCAAAAGTAAGCAAATCACTCAAAAATAATAGTACATAACGTTTTAATTTTTTGTAGAAATCCTCGAAAATGCGTTTCATTTTCAAGCATAGACAATGTGTAAAAAAGTAAATGATTACTGTAATCACGAAATAAGAAAATCAAAGACCTCCCCCCCCCATGTTGCTTACGTAATACTTGAATGACCCCATATCTAAACGTAAAAGTATTAGAAATCTGCGTTACATTTTGATTTAAAAAATTGTGTTACTCGTGCGTTGAATACGTGCCAAAAAAGAAATCTCTAATGCAAAGTTATGGGCTAGATGTTAATTAGCTATTTGCTTTCAAAACCTAATTAGAAAGAAAATTGAGAGAAAAATATTAATATTAATTTCGAAATACTGGTAGGTGTTTTTAAAACGTTTCCATGTTTATCATAAGTATTAAAATGCAATGAAAAAATTCCTGTAAATCAATTAAAGGTTTTTATAAATACAGTGTAAACTCTGTACCGATTCTGAAGAGACTGCGCATTTCCTCACATAAAGAATTTAAAGAGTGACTTTCATTTCTCATTGCATACATGAGAAAACTTCTAATATGTACCTAAGTAAATTCTTAAAACTAGGTAAACCAACTAAAATACTAAAACGTTGTGGGGTACTTATTAGAGAAGAAAAAAAGATTGAATATCAGTAAGGTAATTAGCATGTTGCACAAAGATATAAAATCTAGGTGCGGTGTGTTCAAGTTCAAAAAGTGCAAGTTTTATTAATACTGCTACATTTTTGTATTCCTTTATAAACTCTGAGGCCATTATATATTTGTACACTTTTATAATAAATGTTTTTATGATAATTAATAATCGGAGAACGAATAAAATTTGATTACTTGATACTTCATATGGAAAGAATCATATGTAATGTACTAGCCAAACCAACCGAAGTCTATTATTGAGTTATTTTGACGTTTCAGCGAGTTTGGCCGTAAACAATGAAGTTCCATAAACTTCACACAGTGTTTGTATACATCAAAATTTATACATATATTTTACACGTGTTTAATATTTCTTAAATTCATAGTAAAGCTGCTTTTTGCGAACAAGTGAAGGTATACTGAAAGTAGAGGATAAAATGCGTAAGTCTCCCAACGTAATCGTAGGGCACTAGACGCGTACGCATACTCGTTTAGTACACTAGTATTTATTGTATGTAACATACGCGTCTAGTACACTGAAGTATACATTATACGTATCTAGTACACGTACGCGTTTAGTACACTATGGACTGTAGGCCATGTTTCTCAAATCTCACGCGACCAATATTAGTGTAATTCACTGTAATGTTAAGTAATAGCTTTTTTATCGTAATTGGTTTATTGATTTATATATTTTAAGACAGGATTTGTGATTTGAGGCTCACGCATACAATGTACGATTAGGGTTAGAGTTAGTGGACTCATTTCCGCAATTCTACACTTAATTGGTCCGTTGTGCGTTAACTGTAACACAATGTACGATTAGCAACATTAAATAGTATGCGAAACCTTTTATATTAATCAACTGAGAGATTTTTTGTAATGAACGGAAGGAAATGTTGGTCAAATCCAAGCACTCAATTGTGGTTGAAAGACGAGAAGTATTTTTGAAGTTATAGGTACTTCTTTTGGCGCGTTAGGGAAAAATTATGAGTAAATTTTTACGATGCGCGCGCACACCGTCATAAAAAACCGACACCCTGAATATCTGTTCAAACGTCGGTAAAACAGTCTGGGCCGCTAGTTGGCGCTTGCTCTGTTTTATCGACTAGTTGAATTGTCGTCACGGCGTAGAGTTTTTCAGAGTCGTGTTTATTTAAACCAAAATAATCATTTCTATACGAGAAAACCCGTTGCAATGTGATGAAAAAATATCATAACTATATCGTTTCAATTGGATTTTCTTGTCCATTTTAATGTGTAAATCCATCTAATAATGCAATTCGAAGAGGGTAACGTCCCTCTAAAGTGCTCGAAGAAAATTATTACGCCAAAGAAGTATAACTTCTAACGCGTGTACATAAATACACACACGTTTTTTTTTCTTCAAATCGTCGCTATCCAAAATTTCTAGAAGTGTTCGTTCTGTGGCTTATTTTGGACTCCTAAAGTATCACTCATTTTCTCTACACACTTTTGTTTCATACTCAGGACGAATTGCATGAAATACGTTTTCAAGTTTGTCATTCCAAAATTCTCCAGTTGAAATAGTTTTTATAGCATATCACAAATACCTTAGCATTGAACTGGCGTAATAGTGCCTTAATGTTTTATTTTATGACCAGAGCCACATTAAGAAGGCTGTTTTGATATCTATTTGGAGACGAGTGCAAGCAATCTTAACGAATTTGAAATCCTATTATTGTAGTTTAAATTCGCCGTCATAACGTGGCTCTGGTATATCACATGAAAAAGTTTCGGCGCGAAGTGCCTTCACTTTTTTAATAAATAGAAATAGATCTTTGTTATTCAATAAAAAGGCTGAATTTATTTGTTTTAAAATAATTGGATGTTTTGTGTCGTCGGAAAGCCGGAATAAATTTTATAAGATCCGACATAACTAAATTCAGTGATGCCTTACGTAGTTAAGTATCCCATAGACAAAACGCTTTTACATTTTAAAGTGAAGAAACAATGATGTGTATTACAATTATTAATGAATTTTTTTTATATATATTAAAAACGACTGCGTATATTATCGTGGTATCTGCTTTTACCATCAGCGTGTCAACAAATATCAGAAGAACATTCGCAAAAAATGTGTGGCTTTACAACAAATTTTACGAATGATTTTCTCATACATTATGTCGTGAGGTCGAGGATTCAACGCCTTAAAACGAACGCCTCATGTCGGATCTTAAACATGAAAGCTATATAAATAGTTTAGGCTTTTATTTTAATAGATGAATAGAAGAGATTTCTACGAGTGTTAAGTTAGTTTTACGTTGTTGTATTTCTATTTAATTCACTTTGTATATAGTAGATAGTACAAAATATTAAAGGAAAACATATTTGAAAGTATACTTTATTTTATAAACCCAAATCCTTACACTCTAATATACAATTCTAGAATTTGATCGTTTATGAGAAATGGCATTTCCTTCAAAGCACATATAAAGCTAAAATATCAGGTGCACAGCTAATTTATTAGGATTTTATTATTTTTATATAGTTGGAAATTCGTATGCGCATTGCGCTTAGGCCGTCTTTACCTAAGTTTCATAGGCAGTCTTACAAATGATTTAACAGAACTACAGGAGCCCAACAGTTCCACGTAGAACTAGAACAATTATCTTAGTATATGTATATTATATATAATTATTGGTTTAAACTAGTTCCCGATTACTTCAATTCGTCTTCGATAGGTATCCACTAAAGGCAGGCACCGGTACATTACTGCAATCAATATAAGAAAAGACCCATATACATATAACAAGGCTCACCCCTACTAAAAGTCATTCCAACAGCTCTCTCAACTAAGATACTCGTTAGTTTTTGTCAAATATTTATGCTTTTATGGAAAGAGTGTTAAAACCGGACTTTCTTCATATTACACAATATACTACGTGTTAGCGTTGTTTCCACAGCAATGTAAGACCATATTTGAAAACTGGCAGTAAATCTAAATTTACAACAATTCATTTTTTCTGACGTTCAAAAGTACATATAGTAGTAGCATACCCATAAGAATAAATGAGATTTTGATTTTTACTTATGAAGCGACAAATTGCGTATTTGTAGACCGAGGCGAATCGGACCACTTTTCTTTAGGGAAACATACTAAAGTGTTATATTGTTATTTTTTAATTAAGTAACAATTTTGCAATAAACATTTGAAAACTAAAATCAAACAAAAATTCTCTTTTTTCCCCCTATTAAAAACAAAAAAGAAAATTCGAATCGCCCCAACTTTCGGGGTGAACGGATCACAACATATAACAAAATTTTAAGGTATAGTGTTAAATAACCTTGGAATCAGTAAAAGTATTAATGAGATCAATTTTCACATATATGTTGTTTTTTTTTTTTGTAATTCCTTACTGAAAAACGACTTTACTAAGTTAACTTTGTTCATTTTTTTTTGAGACCATTCTCCGGTCAGTCTTTCACTACGTGCGAACCATCTACAATGAATAATATGAATCAATACCCTCAAACATGTAATAAATGTTTTAAAAGTATGATCCAATTCGCCCTGGGAAATATTTCCCGTTTTCCCCCTTTTTTTTTTTTTTTTTAAAAAATTTTTTTTTTTTTTTTCCCCCCCGCGCCCTTTTTTTCTATACTAAGAGATTGGTTCTTTATATAAACACCTCGCTTATATATATCCAGTAGTAGTTTAATTTTTTTTCAAATCCCCCTTTTTTTGACAGAACGTAAATACGTACCTTAGATGAGCGCAATTGCGACACACAAAAACAGTGTGTGCTGACGAGCGGCATTGCCACCCCTCCCCCACCCCCCCCCCCACCCCCCCCCTTTCCGGGGGGGTTTTTTTTTTTGAGGAAAAAAACCCCCCCCCTTTTTTTTTTTTTTTTTTTTTTTTTTTTTTGCCCCCCCCCCCCCAGGCCCCCGGCGGGGGGCGCCCCCCCGGGGGGGCGCCCCCCCCCCCCGCCCGCCCCCATGTTAAGTTCTTATTGATCGTTTCCATTGATCCGATTCGCCTCGGTCTACCCTATTTGTAAAAACCTATGCGTAGAATTCCTTGTTACAAATTTAGCGCAGCTTACTGTGCGCCACGCACTGAAGAGTTTGTTTAATTAAATGTGCTAATCTCGGATATTTATATCCAGTGGTCCTACAATAAGGGGCTTGGGCCAATATTCTATAGCTTTTATTGATATATTTTTATAGACAAAATTAGTTTTGTGTGACAATTTATCGAGGATTTTCGGAGGAGGTTTCAAGCAACATCACCATACGCGTAAATTATATTTTTACAAGTTTCACTACTCGCATTGATCTCGGAGAATTGTTATATGGCATTTTAACTATATAGATTAAATATATACCGAAAAGAAAAGTGACTTCTGGTACCAAGAAGGCTAAACTCCACACGCCATGATGTTGGTAACGGTAGAGAAATCCAGCGATGGAGACAACAAAACCGAGAACGATGAACGCCAAAGTGTACCACAAGTACACTCGCAATAGCCAGGCATATTCCTTAAAGGGAAAGTAAACTTTTAAACCCAAATATATGAAAATTCGTATAATAAAACGTACCTAATATTTAATCTCAACTATTATCTTATTAGTTCTTACTAATTATGAAAAGGCCGCTAAGGATTCTACAATCTTTAAGTTACATATACAAGACTTACAGTGTCTTGTTAGAATTATTTCTATAAAGAGAACCTTCGAACTGTGGGTGGAAAACCTAAATACCTATATTAAACGATCGTTTCGTGACTAAGGCTGAAGTTGACGGATAAATCAAATGTCTATCAAAGTGAGTTATATACATAGTACACATAATTTTTAGTTCTTAACTTTTCTAGCCTTTGCTGTAGGAATTGCTGAATGAGACTGTCATAGCCTGAACTGATAATCCAATTTACATTAACTTTCAGAATTAATTCGTTGTAATTGGAATTATTATTGGATGCTTGTTTCAACAATTTATCTCTTCCGTTTAGACCAGAGTTCCCCAAACTTTTTTGTGTCGTAGACCCCTTACCATGTTTTTCCGTGTTGGGTAGACCCCCTACTTACTTACCGATATTGATTTCCTGTAAATTTCTAACTGTAGTGAAGTTTAGTGTTAAAAACTTAAAGTAAAAACACATGTTAATTTATACATTTTTTAATTGAATTTAAATTAAAACTACTCAATAAACTAGTCCTCACTACTACTACAACTAGAACTCAGTAAACTACTAAATAAAATTTTGTATCTGTTATGTAAAATATACGTAGCATTAAATAAACATAAAATAAACTATAAATAAAATAACATAAGCAATAAGTCAATATAATGTATATGTTTTGATATTGTATGATGTAAGTAAATAGGTACTATCAGTGTGTGTGTTGAGATCCACTATCGTGGACCCCCATTTTCATTTCATGGACCCCCAAATTTTTTTTCGCTGACGTAGAGCCCTTGCAGGTTGTCATAGACCCCTAGGGGTCGATATAGACCACTTTGGGAATCACTGGTTTAAACTAATACACAATATTATATCATTTGATTCTACTTACTACAATAGATCCTAATAAGAGTAGCATATTTGCCATTTGGAAGAATGTTAATAGTAGATTCCGTAAGGTGTCCACATGACGTGGGCTGGTTATACATTCACTACCATAATTGGACACAATTTCCAATAAGCATCCTACCTGCAATGTTAAAGTTTCTGCTACTCGCCGCTAGGTGACACGATATGCTTTATATAGGGAAAACACATTGCGTCATTTTTATAATTAGTGGTTATAGGTACCTAAACAAGTCGTCGGTTTTATCTACCTTCTATCGCAATACAATTATTGTGGTAACTTGTATGCATTATGTAGCTGTATACTTCAAGCATACCTACCAGTAATTTAACATATTTCAATGAATTCAAATATAATCTTAGTGTAACATATTTTGTTCCTGTTATCTAACATTAGGGCCTGAGCATATATTTACACATTAATATGGGAAAGACGTAACGGAATTTCGAATTAAGTTGTAAAGTCTATTTACTTAAGTCTTCTCTTTAATACGCAATTAATTTTCACGACGAATCGAAGCCAGGTTTAAAAAAATATCTCGGACGGAGTTATGGCTTCTCTATAACCTGCAAACGTAGATACCCACGTACAAACCTGTCCTATTATAGAAATGAGCACCACACTGGTACGAGGTGTCAAGCAACAACATCGCCCATCATCACAAGACGTCAACCTTATTAGGTCTTCCATAATCCTTCCTTAATAAGCTTATTAAACAATATTCCTTGAAATTTCACTGCATTCGTTTCAGTTGTCGGCTATCATTTTGATAAGGATGTCAAAAATCAAAATATGGTCAGAGTTATCAATACGTCATAAGCATATTGCGAAATACGGCCAAAATCCATTTTAAAATGGCAATACCAGAGAAAGCTAAATTATGCGACTCGCGTATATAAGTGGAGTTTCATTTACAGGATTGCTATACCTTTGTTAAAGCATGACTTCTGTGTTTCTATTAAATTTCTTGAATGGTAAACATTCTGTTGATGAAGCGCTCATATCAGTATTAGTTTCTAAGTAATTGTTGAGCATTTACAATTTTTGTACCTATGTAAATATCATGTACAATATTTGGCGGGAAATACATATCTAGTAATAAAACAGTAATGGGGCAGTATAGTCAAATAAATTAATCTTGTAACATACTGCTTATTATTACCGCTTTGTGGCAATGGTCTCTCTCTCTTATGATTTTTCGTTGCTGGACATGTATCCTATATCTTATGTGAGATCTTGATATACGCTTTTCTGCGATCTCAGTTTGCCTTTACATACAGAGTTACCAAGTATTTAAATGAAGTTATATATAGTATTTTCTGAGCACCAGCAATGGTGGTTCAGGGCGGATCAATTGGGCGTGAACAGTATTTCGTTTTATCGTTTATTTGAGGCTGTTAGCTAAGTTATAAAATTATATAATTCCGTCATATCGTTGAGATTTTTATTAAGATATTTAAAAAGGAAACAATAAATATTAATTTCTTTTACTGTGTGACCCTCCTGAAGCGATTGCAAGCTCCTTTGCTTAATTCATATGCAATGAAACCTTATTCTTATGCTTTCTTCTTGCTACCTTCTTTGAATTTTTACAGATTTTTCTATAAGAATGACAATTTCACTGTCAATAAATATCCTAAATTTTCTCAAAGAACTTACAAAAGAAAAGAAAGATGTGGCGATTCCTTATATTATTTATATTAATTTGTGTGTTTCAACAATCAAAGGGGGAGGTATTCGAAGGTATTATTACATTATTACTTACAAATACTTACATAATTTTAATGTATAGACATATTGGTGACCTGATGTGTATTTGACGCTTTACAACATCAAAGACTTAGGGAACTTAGCTTTATTACTCTCAAACTTTATTAATTTAAATTATTTCTAATACTTTATATAATTTATTTTAGATATAACTAGTAAGCAAACGTCGGTAAACGATGTAGAGAAAACTATCAGAAAAATAGAGCGACTAACCATAGACGCTGAGAAGGCTCGTCGCGAGAGTATAGTTCCTATCGAAGATACAGAAAAACTCTATGATGAAATCGCTAGGTTATTAGGTGACTTAACTGAACTTATAGCCGCTAAGAACAACACATATGCATTCTTCAAAGTACATGGTGTTGACACAGTCATCATACCTAATATAAGAACAACATATGACTCCTTACGAGGGCAGCTTTTGAATCTTATTAAGACATTATTTAAATCAGCACCGACCACCACTAACACGTTATTACCGATCAATATTGTTGATATGTTGCTAGATGTATTCGAAAATGATGACAATTTGGCATTAAAAGCACACGCCTTAGACATTCTCTACTTTTGGCTTCCAAATAACCCAAAGTTACAAGCACGGGTGATGAAAGTAAAAGGCCTGGAACCGTTTTACAGGCAAATATCGAAGCTAGATTCTGAAGTTGTTTTTAAATTGTTAGATCTGTTTAACACGGTACTGGAGGAACATTTGGCTGCGCGGAACAAAGATCAAAGGAACAGAATCGACTATGAGAATTTTAGAATGTACCAGATGATAGGTTTGATTGAACGAATGTCTACTGTGATGGTCTGTGATGGCCTTCTAAATATTTTCAAAGTCGCGGTGACGTTAAGCGAAAATGCTGAAGAGGTTTTAGCACCAGTTTTTAAACTGATGAAAAATATAAAGCCGTATTGTATGAAGCTATATAAATCGAAGGAGTCCGCGGTGAATATATTTAATGATATGCATAAGTATATAAGAGATAATAAAGATATTAATTTTGAAGCATTAGGACTGAACTACACCGAAATAGAATTAATTTTAAATGATTATAATGAACAACTACGAGAACATTACAAAGATGAATTGTAAATGCGATGAAAGTATTATAGTCAATTTCGTTTTTAAAAACCCGATAATAAACTTTTGACTTATATATATTTTGCTTTTGTCTGTCGCTAAATCCAGCAGAAACAAACCTATTTTTAACTATTTCCTTAAGAGTCTAAAACCTAGACCTCCGCGCTAAAAGTGACTTGTGATGATCCTTTAAAACCGTACACCTAAATAACATTAAAATATTATATCATTGTTAAACTGCTTAACAATTAGATAAACGCAGACCCTCCACGCAATATCGACCGCAGATAATTTTGATCCAGCATTGTGCAATTCCATAGACAGCGATAGAAGACACAATGCGATACGATCAATTGTTATTTTATGATTTATTGTGCGCTGACTCGATCTGTTGCTACTTAATTTATTATTATGGCAATACTTATAAACGTCAGAAAGGTTATCACTTATCTTAAACTTTAGCTTACATACCTTCTCTATGCATTACCTAATTTTAATTCTATATACATTTTAAATACTCTAAGATGGGAAAATAGGTATGCATTATAATATTTCGACCGACGAAGTAACATATTTCCTAAATAAACATATTTGAAAATCAACGCTAGTTATACACTACGCTAAGATTTTCAATACCTATTTAAATTTGCGAACATTATAATAATAAAAATATAACCGTAATTGGCCATTTAAAGTTGTCACATTTAACTTTTTCCCAAAGCACCAACGTTATTCTTCTTCGTTATTGTCAAGTTTCACCGCAATAATTAGTTTATGATCAATTCAATACAATATCATTAGAACGACAACAGCGCACTGGGTGGCCGCCATTTTGTTTCTTTTGTAAGTTGTTCCTTCCGTTCGCAAATCGTTATCGTCAAATTGATGTCGTATTTTGAATTAATCGAAATTTATTATAAAAATACCATAATAAACTACCTAGATTTTTTTGATTGCACAAATTTTAAAGTATTTTCGTTTCGGTGAAATATAATTTTAAAATTGGCATATATTTGCAAAAATAGTATTGCTGGTGGTGATGGTCCGGTGTTTGGTTATTGTTGGTGGCCCAATAATGGGTTACATACAATTATAGTATCTGAAGAAAAGAAAAAGCTCTAACTAACTTCGATGACATTCTTTTTTGCCTTAAATATCTATGATAGTCTTGGGTGTAAGAAACATGGCGTGGGAGTACTACAAGGTGTAAAAAGTCAAAAAGCTCGATTACACAAATACAAAATCATAACGAATCGATCACTTTTTAGGCGGCAAGTAAAAAAATTAAACCATTCAACTGTCAAATGTCAAACTCGTAAAAATTTGGCGCGCAACCTGCCAGAACGAATTTAAAAATAAGTTCAAGTGTTGCCCGTGAGAATAAAATTGCAGCTTTTTGCATTTTAAATCATGAATGAGCATTGTAGTGTAATGGCCTCTGCAAATAACGTTATTTATATTGTGGACGCAATCCTTAGCACTCTATTTGAGCAATGAAACGGTGACCATGATTAATAAACTAATAAATAATATAATGTACTAATTCTTTTATATATACGAGATACATTTAAATATATAATGTATGTATTTTTAGATTATAGGATTACTGATTAATTCCTTTTTAAGTTGTCAAACTCCAAGTACGTTTCTAATGTTATAATCAAATTTTACGTATAATTTACTCGAAATACGACCTATATACGAAACAGTAATAACCAAACCATATACATACCTTTAAATATCGCTAACAAAATTAAAAGTCATGAACTTATCGTGAAACTAAAAATAATATGGTTACCCCAGTTTAATTGGCTTGCAGTAGTCAGGTAATAAAAAAAATTCTAAGCGTAGGCGTGACAATGCCCACCTGACTGAAATTCCCAGGCCATTACTAATTTATGGACAGTGTATTTTTTACTATCTATGACTTTGTAAAAGTAATCCGATAATTATACAAAATGTTATTGGTACCTACTGTAAAATGCCATAAATGTAATTTTTATTAATAAATTATTCAACATATCAAAATATTAAACATGTTAGTTATAAATTGCTAATTTCAACTATTTATCAATACTCGTAATTATGTGGCTATTTATTTTTGTTAAGCTACAGATAACCAAGCTACAAGTTTCTAGTCAGAAACTGACAATCCAAATTCGCTACAATCCTTAATGGATGGATGGCCTCTGCATTTTGCTGTGTCTTCCTGTGCTTCTGAGATAAGCAGGTTTCTTCACAACATTTTCCTCCACCGAATAAATATTAATTACGCTGATGGAATTGATGGATTGCCTTGGTATACAACCAGAACTCGGAACGTACGATCTATTAAGTAATAGACTAATTAAAACAAACGTATGAATTGTTTTTCGCATATCCTTAACATAACACATGAAATAAAATAGTATTAAGAACCAAGGTTTTATAAAAAAAGATTTTGACTTAAAAACCGTTTAAGTAAAATATAAAAGACTAGACTTTACGAAATAAGAAATCCTTTTTGCATTTTTCCCTCTTTGTGTCCTATAGCCATGAATGAAATATTTCGTGGCCTTCCCACAGACAATATATGTTTACATTGGCCCGGTCATTAATTTGAAGCTAGCGTTCATTCATTCACAGTTCACCTGCTCCCGCAGACAATTTTTTACAGATAGCAATAAATTATTGACAGCGAATTTGTAAGATCGTAGGCGGGTTATCGTATTAATAAAATTGTTTTTTCGGCTTAAGTTTTTCTTTATTCTTTATATTAAACTTCTCCCACGGTTGTATTTTTAATAAGCAAGTTACAATCGTTGTATTATATGCATATAGTATGTTTAGGCTACACGGGAATGTCGAAGTAGTACAGACAGAGCTAGCAAATAATAGTAATCTCTAATAACCCTACAACTAATAAATTCGTTAGCGCATTTCAGGGTATAACAGTGATTGTAGCCACGGATTGTATGTGTCGCTATGTTAAACTAAAGATATATCACGATATATAACAAAATCTTAAAGTATATGGTTGTAACAAATAATCCCTACCAATAATGCAAATCATTTTGTATCCTCAGCCGGTAATAATGCATAACACTATATTAATGTATAAAATTAATTAATTAAACGCAAAGTGAATGGTTTTTTACAAGGACAAAACATTTAAAAGACAACCCATAACTAACAATACCATTAACAATCGATAAACATTTGCGTAATTGGTGTAATGACATCTCATTCTTCGAAAAGTTTGGTGTCATGCTGGGTGCGGACTTCCGAATTACATTGGAGTTTAAGGCATTGAAAACGGAACACGTGGGAATTAGACTAATTTAAGGAGCAAAGGACAGGTAATAGATTTATATAGAATTTTGTCTATTGAGCGCGTTACGATTTACGAAATTACAATTCTTAAAGATCGCATACATCAGGCTATGTCATAAAGGTTGATTAAGGAAGAAAACAAACGCAAATGCGCTCAAATGGTTGGTATTTTTTTAATATTTTATGTTTTTACGCCTAAACCAGTGAAAAGATTTAAAGGAAATATGGTATGAAATAGTTAATCATAAATAAACGACGTGGTTTAATTTTATCTATGTAATTTCGACAACTGTATGGAAAGGACCAAGAGGAAGAAGGAGAAGAGGTCGCCCAAAAAAAAGGTGGATAGAAGAAATTGAAGCGGTAGCAGGAATCGAATGGAGAAAGAAAAGAAAAGAAAGGAAAGAGCTGGAGGAGGCCTTTACCCGTAAAGGGGTTCCGATCGACGGTACTGAAGGAAGCTAGGATATAGGATAACAATTAACAAGCAAAAGAAAAAATTTATAAAAAGGTAAAATAATCTAAGCTGTGTATTTTAATTTGTTTTTGTCATGATTGGAAATTAAACGGGCTTTATTCATGAATATTCTATAATGAAGATTATATCTTTGAAATATATAGGATATATAATAGGTTTAAATATGAATTATGGAAGTATAGCTATGCCAAATCAATGAACTACGTAAACATATTGCCAAACAACATATCCACGTTAAGAGATTGGTGAATATTTTCCTGAATATGCACCTAATCGGAAAAAAATAAGTTATGATAATCCTTTATTTCCGAATTACACGTTTAAAATTTAAAGAGTTACCCGTTTGCTTCATTTATCAAGTTTGTAGCACCATGTGACCTGTCCATCTCCATTCTGTCTATACAAGCTAATATATCTGTACCTACCTACCTAACTTGTATTTTTTTTCTAATATCCGAGTTTCTTATTTTGTGACTCAACCTTATTCCAAGCATAAGGACTCCTTTCTATTGCCCTTTGACACTTCGCAAGTCTTTTTCTCTGAATATGTTACAACTTTGGTTAAATAAAATACAGTTTTATAGTTTATTACTATTTTTTTATTATTTAACAAGTAATTTATAACTAATTGTGTATTTCAAAAGTGTAATTCTTTATAGCAATCATCACTCCCTGAAGCTGTCATCAATAAATGATTGATTTTTTATTGCTCATTCAAAACGCAAGTGTTCTCATGACACAATGACACAGAGTCAAAATATTTTGCGAAACGCTAATTGTTTATCTGTCCATAGATATTCGCCGGAAGTACTTTTGTTGTTTTCTTTATCCTGTATTCATAAAGACGTACATGATGCATTGATCTAAGGCCATGTGAATTGTATAGAGGCATTTTGTTGTTATATCTTCAAGTTTTATATTGAATAGATGTGATTTGTCTGTTATTCAATTCAAAGCACGAGGCTATAGGTATAACTGCTTTATACTACATTTTCGACAAATATTGTACGAAAGCTGAAAAAAAACAGGCAGGCAATCTTTAGGCAGACGTCGCGGCAGAACATGAAATTTCACCCGTATCTCCTCGAAGTCGTCGTATCACAAATAAGTTTTTTAAAGCACTTTTTGCCGCGCACCACCGCTATATCAGCTCAAAATCAAAATCAGAATCAGCTACCCACTGAAATATTTCCGAACCAATTCGGCTTAGGGTTTTTCAAGA